CAGGGTGATATTGTATGGTATTGTGTGGTATTTTTTGGTCCTGTAATTTGTTCACCCAGAAATTTGTAGATCCAATAGATCATGATGAACTCGTCCCTTCTGTGCAAACGTTTTCAAAAACGAATTAAAAATGAAGAAGATACCATACAATACCACCCCGTACAAGGGTGGTATTGTATGGTATTGTGTGGTATTTTTTGGTCCTGTAATTTGTTCACCCAGAAATTTGTAGATCCAGTAGATCATGATGAACTCGTCCCTTCTGTGCAAACGTTTTCAAAAACGAATTAAAAACAAATAAGATACCATATGGTATGCAGTTGGTATCGAGATGCCAGAATTTTTTTTCTCAAAAAATATTGAAAATTGATCTCATTTTGTAGAGCACGGTGAACTCGTTCCATCTGTGCAAAAAAAATTAAAATCCGAGTTAAAACGAAAAAGATATGAGTCAATTAAGAAAGTTAGGAAAAATAAAAATTGTCTTTAATTCTTCATTCTTAGATCTGGATTTTCTAAATGAAGGGTCCAGATTTGGTTATTGATAGGTGCATAACCCATGGTTATGCACCCTATCTTGAGCCGGTCGCTACTACCCCGTGCAGGTGTTGCCAATCGTTTGTACGGATTATCTAACTATCCCATTATAAACCAAGTATAACTCAGAATGGCATTGCTAGTACAGCGGCTACAAAAGTAGTCTTCCATTGGTTTTGATACCCTAGGTTACTTCTCACTTCATTGTTATCTAGTCAACCGATTTAGATTTTTGGGCTGGAGGTTGATTGGAAGATACCAGTGGAAAAAACAAAGATAAAAGAAAGGTACTTCGGGCTGCCACCTGATTCGGGTCTAACTGTACACTTTTATCACATGTTTCTCTTTGGCGTTTGTGGTATTTGAGCTCCAAAAAGGGTGGTTTTACGCTAGGTTTGTTGTGTTTCAATGTGTTTCAGAGTCTAACAGGTGAAACCAATCCCGGAGTTGAAAGTTGAAAGAAAAGGTGCAAAGATCGGGCAAAGAGGAGGATCAAGCCGTAGTTCCTGGTAAGAGTTGCGAGTTCACGGTCGCTAGGATCGTGAACTGGAACCATAAAAAGCGAAGCAAAGGCAGTCCAGAGAGGTTTCAAAGGTTACTGACACCCAGCCAGTTCACGGTCGTAAGACCATGAACTGAAGCCATGGACCGTGAACTGATCAAATGAAGCGGCGCGTTTTGGGCTGTGTTCACGGTCCTGACCTGATGTTTAGGGCCGTGAACTGGGCGCGATCTGTGTATAAATGGAGAGCTGAAAGGAGGAAGAAAGGGGAGCCCAAAAGTGAGAGAAACCTTCTTCTTCTTGAACCCTAGAGAGAGAAGTCACAAACCAAGAGGGAGAAGAGGCTAGGGTTTGCTCCAACTGAAGATTTGGGAAGTTCCTCTTGAAGAGAGGATCTCTATAAGCACAAGGAGAGTTGGAGACATCAGAATGATGGTTTCTTTCATTTTCCGTTGTGTTCTTCCTTTATCTAGCATGGAGTAGTCTCCCTTTTCACTTGGGTGTTGTAGAACCCTAACTTTTACCATGTAGTTGATTGTGTGGATTGAATGATTACGTGTGGGTGGTGTTTAATTTAATATTTGAGGTATTTTTCATTCTGATTGTGCATTGCGTGTGCTTGGCAATCTATTGTGCTATTCAAACCTAGCTTTGAGAGAAACCCCCTTATCTTAAGAGGCTCAAATTAAGCTGGGTTTTCTTAGGCATTCCATGCCTCCTAACTAGGTTATGAATGGAAAACCTCTAAAATCGAGCGAGAAGGTAAGTCAACCCTCAATTGTTTGGGCCAAGAGGGCTACAATTGTAACCTATAATGCTTTCCTTGGCCTAGCAATTGTGAGGATGGTTTCTAACCATTGTTGCATCTCCTAAAGTTCGCAATTGCCTTGTCGCACACTGATTCATTTGATCCCACGGTTCTTGGTAGTTAGTTAGGGGAAGCAGCTCTCGAGTGAAGGTTCTCACCAAGATTTTCAACCCTTTTTACTTTTCAAGTCTTGCTTTTCAATAGTAGATTGTAGAGATTTTCAAAAGCCACATTCCGCTAGATAATGTTTCAAACAATTGAAGTAGGGGTACATGGACCGATCCAGGTTGATATTTAAATATACTTGTCCTATATTGGACCCATTTAAGGTTTATACTTAGGCCTTAGGTGAAATTTTAGTGTGATATTCGGGTTGAGTCACTACCCTCGGTATAAACTAGGTTCATCATGTAAATGGCTAACTATGTTGGGTTTATAGAATAGGATGCAGAAATCTCTAATATGGAAATTTTAATGATTACTCTCCTTCCTAACACGACCCACATAGACCCAATGTCACCTCAGTCTAAGTTTACGTGCTAGGGTTTCTCACATAGTTCCTCTCATTAGCTTTAACCTATCATGCATACTTGTGACGTGCTTCCATCAGAACTCGTGCAACTTCTCTAGCATTTTTTTAGGAAGGCATATCCATAGCAGTGGTTCGGTCGCCATGTCCACTAAGGAACCTTAATATTATTCATCTACCCTCAACACAATTACATCTACATTCAAAACTTAAATGAATCATATATTCAATAAAATAAACATTTCCATTCATAAACCCTAACACAATTACATCTACATTCAAAACCTAAATCTATGGTTTGGGGGGTTTAACTCCTAGTACCTTAGAGAACTACCCCATTGGTGCTCTAAAACACAACACCTAACAATGGCCAAGTGTAACCAATGAAAGGGACTGCAGTATAGTGGCACAAGTAATAAATATCGAATCCACGGGTCTCTAGAGTTACTATTACTCAGCTTCAGTTCATTATCTAGCAAACTAGATTAAGGATTGATTAACTAAACTACTCTACTAACTAAACTAAGTAAAACTACTAATTACAGTTTGGGAACTCACTTAGGTATGATTCCCCCTAGCTCCTCAATTAGGTCCAAGTTGTAATTCATTTTGGTTGATTTACTGTTGATTAAACTGCGGAAGATCCGACAGTAGCTTGGAATCTCTTAAGCTGACCAAGCCCTCTCAGTCTAACTATCCGGCAGACGACTAGTCTTCACCGGGATAGAAAGCTGAAGCAATAAGCACAGAACTCCACTACTGGAATTGGATTCCAGTACAAAGCAGTAAACTGGCTAACTCTCGTATAGCCAATCTCCTACTACCGAATGAGGAGACTCTAGCAACCTAATCAGATTCTATCTATCTCAGATTGCAGCAAATCAGGAAAAGTTGATCAGACTTCAATTGACTCAATAAACATGCATCATTCGATTATAATCAAACAATATAGCATCCAAAACTTCATACAAGAAAGATCCTAACTCATGGAACTAAGGTTCCTCAAAACCTAAGTGAAGGGAAGTTACTCCATAGAGAAGAGAGAGACTGCAGAAATCTGATCTAGATCTTCAATCTCCATCTCCAAGCTTGATTCCCGAGCTCCAATGGCGAAGAAATCCTCCAAAATAGCTCCAAGAATGTTCCCAAGTCGCTCTCTCTCTCTAGGGTTCGTCCCTTGGGTGTTTGGGATCCAAAACCCAGCTCTCTCCCCTCTTTGGTTCGGAATTTGGCTTAAAACCAGGAAATCCCGACTCGCACGGCCAGGGTGCACGGCCGTGCATATCACCATTCTGGCCGTGCAACTCAAAACGCAGCGTGTCATTTAGTCGAACTTCAGCCCTCTCGCACGGCCAGGGTGCACGGCCGTGCGAGCTTCAGTGGTTGCCCGTGCGTGTCCTCGGCATAAGGCGCACGGCCATATTGCTCACGTGCACGGCCGTGCAGCCTCCCTGGTCTGCCCGTGCAGCTCCCCAAAAACCTCGCCATTCGTCCGTTCTTCGTCCAATCGACCCCAGACTCGCTCCTAAGCCTTCATTCACGTACTAGGACCTGAAACATCACAAACAAGCACAACCTAGCGTGAAATCGGCCTAAAACACGAGAATCAACACCTCAAACGGTGTAAGAATGGGGGTAAAAACATGTGTAAATGATGGTCTATCACCCATAAAGGGAGGGAAGAAGATCCATGGAAGAAAATAGAAGAAGTCTTGATGTGGGAGAGCTCCCTTCCTTATTCTCCTTCTTCATCCCCTACTATCCTTTCTTCAGCTTCTCTCTCTAACTTTCTCTCTCTTAAAACAATATCAATTTCAGCTCCCTAATATAGGGGGAGGAGCCCCCTATTTATACATTTCCAGAATTTGGGCAAGCTCACGGTCATGCTGGGTGACTTCGTGGTTTGGGAAGAGTAGGTCGCGATCTTGAGCTTGCCTTTTTGTGCTTTGGAAGTTGGGAAGTTTGTGGCCCGAGTTCACGGTCGCAATCCGTGAGTCAGAGCTATGATCTTCTTCGCAGGCTCGGATGAAAAAGGCCATGAGTCGATTATCAAGACTTTATGCTCCTTCCTTGTTGGCTGCTCCACAAGTTTGTGCCTGAGGCTTCCATCTTCACTGACATGATTTTGGCATTGAAGGCTGCGATCTTTGTCCTTAGCTTCGCGTCCTCTATTTCTGACCGTGATGATTCATGATCTGGCCGAGATCTTTGGATTTTTACAATTCCTCTACACTTGTGCACACTTTTGTACCTAAAATGTTCATGTCATCCAATACACCCTAATATGGGTAAATTGCAAGTTTGGTCACCAGAATTACTAAAATTATCATGTTTGCCACTAAAATTATTTTATTCCATTCATGGTCACTTAAATTAGTTTTGTAGTCCAAGTTTGGTCACTAACCGTTAGTCTCCATTAGACTCTGTTAATACCGTTAGTTAATTGCTGACGTGTCTAACAAAAGTGCCTAATCAGCAAATTTTGACTAAATTTTTTTAAAATAAGACCTGCCACATCATCAAAATCCAACACATTGCTAATCCATTGACCAAATCCAACCTGTGACTCGACCATATACTCGATTCCACCCGATTTTCTTTTCATGATTCTTTCTCCTCTACCGATGTCAGTCGTCATCGTCCTGTGTTCCATTTGCGCAGGGGAGTGCTGGCACAAGAACATCAACTTCATCGAACACCTACTCACACGTAGCGCATCCTTAAGGAGAGATCCCGGAGACGTCGCCTCTGTGTCCTCTTACATTCCTACTCCAACTCCAACTCCTATGTCAACCTCACCATCTTCGTCCCTTTCATCAGCAACGACATTATCAGGGCAGACGTTGGCGACGATGAGGAGAAGTAGATTCACTTGTTATGCATCGTCCCCTGGCACTCCCTAATCAACGACGACCTCCTGTTCAAGTACTGAACGAGGCCGAGCTCCGCGAAGACCTATTGCAATCGGAGATTCCCCTTAGGAAGGCGAAGGACAAGGGGGAGTTAAATTTAGGGGAGGCTTGGAGGGAGAACTGACCTCGATTTTTCCTAGGGAAGGGGTGAAGATGAAGTACATAAGGAATGGAGAAATTAGAGAGATGCGATTGGGATATGGGATTGGTGGGTTTTGTCGCGAATCAAAAAGAGAAGAGAAAGAACCCAGAGATGTGACTGGGATCTGAGTTTGGTGCGTTTCTCCTCTTGCGTTTCCAAATTCCTCCAACTCATCAGGACAAAGCTATGTCCGCATCAGATCCGGCGGCGGAGCGACACCAATCCTTCTTCCCAACTAGCTTCGACTGGACTTTCGCTGCCAACCCATGAATCTCTTCCTTTTCCAATTAATTGTTCGTCAGGGGAAGTGGATGATAAAAGCGCCATTACTCAAATCCAAAGAAACTTCAATTCCAGCCGGTAAACCGCTCCCATTGACTATGCCGCGATGAAGAAGGACGAGAAGAGGAAGGGGTCTAGATAATCTCAATAATCTCCATACCCAGATATCGTGGACGTTTAATTGCACTATTTTTGGGGCTGGCGATGAAGAAAGATGGGGAAGAGGAATCCATTCAGGGAGAAGAAAGGTAAAAAATAGAGATTGGGTTCGGGGATGGGTCATTCGGTTTGCGATGTGTTGGGTTATGATGACGTGGCTAGTCATTTTTTAATTTTTTTAGTCAAAATTTGTTGATTAGGCAATTCTGTTATCCATGTCAGCAATTAACTGACGGTATTAACGGAGTCTAACGGTGACTAACGGTCAATGACCAAACTTGGACTATGATACTAATTTAAGTGGCCATGAAGGAATAAAATAATTTTAGTAGCAAACATGACATTTTTTAGTAATTTCAGTGATCAAACTTGATTTATGTCTTTTTAGGTTGTGTTAGACATTACAAGCGAAAAAGGAGAAGAAAGAGCGCTCATGTGTATAGAAAAAGGCAAAAAGAGGAAAAATCAGAGTTCACAGCTGAGGGACACCAACTTCACGATCGAGATCTTCTAGGGTGCAAAATAGGTCATGGGCTGTACAACAGTTTGAAACCGAGGTCTCGGATCGCCAAGCCGGATCTCATGGAGGCTTCATATGATGAAGAAGCATAATTTCCCGCAACTTCTATTTCGCAGCCATGATCTTCATGGTGAAAACTCACCTCCAGCACCAACCAAAATGGTTGCATTTGAACTTCGATAGTTGAGACAAATGATCGCGACCGCGATCTAGCAGCACAAGGATGCAAACTTGTCTATATCCCAGCTGCCTATAAAGCAGTCCCAACACACACTTTGAGAATTCACGTAGAAAATCCAAGATATTATGACGCTAAATATGGGAAATCAATGCACTTTCGATCATAATAAGGGGGTCTAATGTAGTATACTTCACGTGTCATCAAATAACCCCACACTTGAACTTTGATTGTCCCCAAGCAAACCTAAGTTCACAAACATTCAACTCACTTGACTTAAAGATGATACGTGACTTCGATCTTAGGTAGTGAATCATAAGGAGATTACTAGATCAACCCTCACACTAAGAGAACCTTGACCATGGAGATGAAGCGCAAAAAGTACTTTGGCATGACGACATCATTCGTCCCTTACGATATTGAGTCTTTTCCTAAACTCAAGTCTTTCAATGGATATGGGGCAAGGCATATGTAGCTTGATTAAGCGTTTAGGCGCATCCCTACCTCGTGACAGTTTTTTCTGATAGACTTTAGATGTTCTCTCTTTTCGTGTTATGTTGTCTAGCCATTAGAACTTTTGCAACTCAAGTGAGTTCACTTTTCCTTGTACTGTGGTACTTGACAGCTTAATCGAGCAAGAGCAATTTCACCCCTTAGAACTTTCATAAGGGTCTACATTTAATGCCTTTTACTCGATCGTGCATATGTCAATTAAGTCAAAGGGTGTCAGAAGGTTTATCCGTGCCCTAAAGAAAACATCCTCAAGAGGCAATCCTATCTATGGGTGGAAGTTTTACTTGTACTAGAGAGGAACCAACGTCATCTCGTAGGACTACCCCACTGAAAATAGACTCGTATCTCTTCCAAAACCCAATTTTGTGCAATAATAGGACGCCTCACACTTGTCTTTTTACCCCAAACTTTATTTGTGGCAGCAACGTCTTTTAAGTAGACATCTCGTAGTATATTTTTCAATTCTAACATGGTAAATACATATCCCCCTTTGCTACTAAGAGTAGAAGACTCGAAGTGAGGAGTTTAAGAGCTCCATAGGATAGTGAAAACCACATATCCTTATGTTCAAAGTTGGTCAATGTCTCATGATTAGGACATCTTCAGAGCCCCTACACTAGCCTTCCTAGATCACATATCACCATAGATCACATGAAGAACAATCTACTAAATCTTACCCCCACAGTTTAAATGGGACAATGTCCTCATTGGACCAAGTAAGAGATAGAGAATAGAGTAAAACGAAGTTACCTTAAAAGCATAAGTCATCCACGCAAATCAACTAGTTCCTTGAAGTTGATATTCAAGACAAAAAAAAGCTATAAAACACAGAGATCAAGTGTGTCATCTCCTCCTCTATAGCAATTGCCCAAGAGGTTTTCCCATTGATATATCTTTTTAGGCGATCATACTCAAGGGAATTGAGCATGAAGCTTTCTAGGCGACATGCAGAAGGCAAGGCCATAGCGGTATTGACATCGTAATTTCATAAGTGACAATCATGGAAAGTGGTATATTATTAACTCGTCTCTATTGTCGCATAAGCATGAGCAATACCCAACAATTGACCTAAAGTTAACCAAAACACACATCATGTATCATCATGATGAGCTCGAGATAAGAGATGGTCGGCAGACAAAGCCTAGATGACAACCCCACACTTTATTTCCAGCCATACCAAAGTCGTGAAGGAGCTAAGAATGGACGGAAAACCAGCTTATAGGTAGCCACACATGCATATGAGCGTCGAATCATGACAAAATCAGATGTTATGACCTCAATCCATATACTCACAAAAGTATCCACAAACTACAAGACGTAGAGGCACATTGCCTTTAAAAAATGCATCTCTAACTCATCAATACAACCACAACACATCATCCTAATTCCATCATTAATGCATACAAAGATATGGACTCCATAAAAGACATAAGCATGGTAAGCATACTAGCACTCCGTAACAAGCATGCACGAGCTGGATTAAAGAAGCACATAGGTCCAAAGAAAAGCAAATACATGGTATAGTCATGCATCTATAAAGATTCGTTCTTAAGATATTATATGAGGAGGAGGAGTACTTGTTTGAGTGAGAGCCATATGATGGCATTGGGGCGTGCAAACAAAGGTAATAGAGAAGTGGCACATGTATTGGTTGACATAGCGAAGCAAATAACCAAGCATACATGGTCAAGGATGGGTGAAAATAAAGGAGGTGAAAGATGGATGCAAGAACCAGATCCCAAGGTTTAAGGTCTAACCGACATAAATGGCAACTACAACGCCATTCCCACTGTTATTTGGGATGGGTGGGATGGTTTACTTCCTTAAGTAGTTACTTCTAATCCTAGGGAAGACCAAACTCTCATTCTATGAAGCACAAGAGATCGATAGATAACAAGAGCTTATAAATACCTTTTAGATTGCAGAAGTAACTTATGATGTCGTACTTTCGTCATTCCATGTTACTTGAAGATTAGGTGCAATCCATAAAGTTAAGGTCGAAAAAATTTATTCGAGATAGGACACTTCTCGATACCATGCCTAAGAATTGAAAAAAAAATCCAAGCTATCTCTCAAAAGTAATTTTCTTGATTTTCTTTAAGTTGGGCATGCCATGGGTTATCTCTCATACAACACCCTCTCTTTAATGCCTTTGAGCTAGGCAAGGCCAGAGCGTTCTAGTTGTAATACCAATGAGTCTCGGCAGGCCAATCTTCCCTATAGTGAAATTCTAACTCCTTTTCAATGTCAATTGGAAGGGTAAATTCGACGTCTCCCCATAGTCAGGCAAAGGATTTTGCAAGGAGCCACAATTCGAGTCTACCATGGTAGAACTGGATTGTGCATGATCCATTCTCGTCATAAGTTGATGTTTAGGATTTTCGACCAATGCACCAGAAAGTGGCCATGAAAGGCCTTCTAAAGAAGATAGAGTAGTCCATATCTCCTTTCTTCTCTAGTGCCACAAAGTCGAGAGAGAACACGAAGGGTCCTATCTCAACATTCACGTTCCATACCATGCCCATTGGTCGACAAACAATGTTTTCAGCCAAGGAGACCTTCATGGTTGTATCCTTGAGTTATTTTATGCCAACCTTCTTGATGATGTAGATGGGCACATCATTAAGGCTAGCTCCTAAGTATATAAGTTCATACGTTATGTGAAGCTTCTTGAGTACCCACGAGATGACAAAGTGGCTAGGATTGGGAAACTTTCATTTCACAAAGAGTTGAATATGGGGAGGTATGCTCTACATGGTGAGCTTTCAATATTGCTCGCACTCTTGCTTAAGAATTTTCCATATTGCTTTCACGGGATTAGGCATCCTTATGATAGCTTTCAACGTTGGTATGACAACTTCTTTTTCTCCCAGAATCAAGATAAACTGATTGAGGATGTTATGGCTTGAATGACCATAGTTTTATTTGGTAGGTGAGAGAAAGGCTCTCTTGCTGCCTCATTGAAATGAGTTATGGCTGTTGGGGCCGCCAAATCCTCATAATGAACCTCCTCTTGAAGAAATTTCATACTTGCACGATAAGGAGGGGCCATTCTAGAGTAAAGAGAAAATTCCTTAACCTCAGGTGTGAGGTGAGGTAGGCACCTTGATCGACCAAATTATCGTCAAAGATGGAGATTGCAATTTGAATATCCTTTCCCACATGCTTTTTGCCCCATAATACGGTTTGAAAGATCG